TAGTTAAATTCAGTCCTCCATATGCAGCACAGCAGCAGACTTTAAGCTTATGAATTATTATGTATTGTAGGCCTCAATGAAGCATATTCTTTTTTAACATGGCTGGTGTCTTAGCTATCCAAGTAGTAGAAATATTTGAAATTAAGTAATGATAAACCTTCAAAAAAAGGAAGCATGGTATAAATAGAAAACTACAGATTTGTTTTAAGTATTTACATAAAAGATTGGTCTGTATTCAGAGCTGGATGGAGACAGCAGACAAGTGTACTGTTGAGCTGTTACAATAAGACTCTGTTATCGTCCATTACTGAACCTCGTGAGGAGCATCCCGGTTTGACCGTAGGTGTCAAAACAGGCTGAGAATTACATAACAGCTGCAGTAAAACTGTATTATAAGAAGCAGATCGTTGTGGATATCACAGGAGCCCTTTAAATCTTAACTGATGCCTACAGTATGACGGGTTGAATCAACATTAATGATGACTGCACTGTGGTGTTATGTAATCCAGTTTTTCAAAAGCCCACCTCCTTCAAAGCAGGCATGTAGGGCAAATAGCTGGCAAACTTAAGACCACCTCTGTCTAATGACATAATGAGGAACAAAAGTGACCTAAGTTATCTGCCGACTGCCTTTTCTGTGTTCAAACCTCTTTCTGTCTCTTTCTGTCAAGTGCTGCAGGTTCTCTTACCCTAAGAAGTCCTTATGCTCAAGGGCTGAATACCAGTCAAAGATCTCATTAGCACATAAACACAAATGTGTTTTTAATACCATCTTCACACCACATGAGACTACTGATATCATTTTGGTGCCTGTGGTTTGGTTGACATTAATGGAGCAAGTATTATGGAATCAAAACCTCAATGAGAAGCGCCTTTCATGGACCCCTGCAAGTCATAGTGCTGTCCTTAGGCTGCAATCACACCAAGAGCTCATTTAAAACACAGTGGCAATAAAATGTTTCTTGAGTCATCAGATAGCATGCTGATTCCCCTTATCCACGCAAACAAACAGCAGCAGACACACAACATAGATAATTTGGCGACAGAGCAAAAGGTCTGACTCTCTGGTTGTCAATTCTTGATGGACCTGAAGCTATGATGTTTTTAAGGATTCTTTATTTCACCATGTAGAGAGAAAGACGGGGCACAATATGCAACAAAGATCCCTGGCTGTAATCAAAGAGGATGTTGCAGGTACACCGCATGCACCTTAACCACCTGGCCCCCAAGTATGAGAATTTGGGGGCCTGAATATGAACTTTAGTTATGTATGTGAGTTGATACATGTGGTCAAGATACTATATGTTTGGCCAAAAGGCTTATTGTGAAACAATATACATGTATCAGCTGTTTTTCTATACTGTGTTATTTATTTCTTTATTATTCACAGCGGCCTCTGTACTTGGCCATTGTGGGCATTGTTGTCATCACTGGATTTTTAGCCATGCTAGCAGCGCAACTATAGCGATGGCGGTGTCCGCCATTCGGTGGGTCCATCAATTTACTGTCTGAAAAAATCTCAACAATTACCAAACTGATTGTCATGAAATTATTCATGTTCCCCATGGGAGGAATTGTAATTTTGTCTTTTCTATATGAATAAATATCTGCAAAACTAATAACATTCCCAGCAGCATCAGCTGTACTTTGTGATTAGTGCTAATTAGCTAATGTTAGCATGCCCATGCGCTGAACTAGATGGTTAACATGGTAAAGATTATATCAGCATCATATTAGCTTGTTACACTGTCATTGTGAGCATGCTAACATTAGCATTTAGCTCAAAGCATAGCATGCTATTTATGCAATATTGGATTCTTTATGGTTGTTTGTATCAGTTTAATGAAAAGGCCTACTTATTGTCAGTTGTTCAGTTTGCTGGATTTGCCTAAAACAACTATTGCTGTCTGGTGGTTTTATCTGTAAACAGTTATTCAGTTGATTTGCCAGAAAATGTACTGTGTCACTGTATTAATACTCCAACGTAAAAGAGGATTTTATCCATATCTCCCACTTCAGGTTCGAAGTTAAATCTGTAACATCTTAACAGATGAGTGGATTCCTTCCCAGACTGTCCACATAGAGAAATATGGTGTACTTTAACATTTTGTGAAATATGCTTATTTAACCTCTTTCCCTAGATGATTGATATAAATGTACTCTCTGTTGATTTATATTGGATGCTAGGTCAATCCTCTCATGTGACTTGATATAGCAGCAAACTGGTGTACTTCCCCAAATATCAGACTGTTTGTGTAACAAGCTTAACAATCTCTGTGCGTCTCCATCATGAACAAACTCCCCTCTCACTGTTCAACCCTTCATTTATCATGAATGAGAGCAGATGCAGTGTTGGATGAAGATTTGCCACAGCAGACACTAAACAGACTTCCAAACCGAAGACCTGATGCCCCCTAAAACGAAAAAAAAAAAAAAACAGGAAAATGTTTGTGTAAGCCATGGTGGTGACAGAGGCATCTAAGATATAATGACCTAGACAATTTACTGTCCGTATCAAGAGAAAAAAAACAGCAACAGGTGGGAGAATAGAAAGAGGCGAGTGACATGATGATAAGAGAACATCTTATCATTTAAAATGTCTTTGATCACCTGTCAGATTACACGTTTTCCCCACAAGGCTTATGTTTTCTAATATCTTATTTCATGTTTGCATGCTATTAAAGGGAAAGCATCTAAATTGTAATCCTGCTTTCGTGATAAAATGCTTGCCAGTTTTTTTATTTAGTCTCGATACTACCAAGTAGTAGAAGTAATTTTGGGGTTTTTTTTAAAGGCCAGAACCATGCTTTTGTCATTGAATGAAACGTTTCAAACAGTCCTGGCAGGCAGAGGACGAAGGGTTATACACCGTCCCCGTAACGGGTCACATCCTCTACAGCCGCTGTCGTGACGATACACACGATGCTCAGAGACTAATCCACCAGGAAGTAGAGATGAGCGTTAATCACTGCTCCTCTGACTGCACGCACAGATTACACACACACACACACACACACACACACACACACACACACACTCAAATACAGACACACAAATGCATGTGTTTATGTCATAAGCAAACAATTCCGTAATAATGTATTGATTTTAACCCATTCACTATAAATTGGAGAAACTTTACATACTGTAACTGTCAACCATTTACCAAAGTGAATCCATTTTTATCATGTATGAAAATCTGCATGTACAGTCTTAAAGTTACTGCCTAAATTACTGCCAGTATTGGAGAGTAAGTATATTAATTCATTAACCTTTTACAGGAAAGAATTAACAAACTTCCCATTATAATACATTTTCCAAATATTCTTGTGTGTTTTTAAAGAAGATCTCCCATTTTCTAGTTGTAATTTTTGCAAAATACAGTAAAGTTCATGCAAACATGAAATACACATGTAATGTTTGACTTTTCCCATGAACATAAGAGCTTAAAACTTAATAAAATATTTTTAAAAAAATAGTAAATGTCTCTCTTCTTGTCATAGTTTTGATTAATTTCCCCACAGCTGGGTTAGGGTTAGCTGTCTGACCAGCAAGAGCCCACAAGACTGGCTCCCATTTTAATAAGTCACAGCTTTTCCACAAGAGGTTAAATGTTTTTTTTTTTTTCTCTCTCTGGGTAAATGCAGACATAATCCCAAAGTCATAATCTAGCAGAGAGGTGGCAGAGCGGGCGGTTAATCCTCCTACAACATCATCAGGGAAGCCCCCACCACCACTCCCCCTGCAGCCCCCCGAAGGAGTGAACACATCCGTTTGGGCTTTACGCTGACTCTCACTACTCTGATGAAGTGGAAAACCAGTCAGTGGAGAGGAACACGGTGAAAGGAACAGAGTGCGAATAGGATGGAGGAAGAGGGAGATCAAGTGGATGTGGGCGGGCTTAATATCAGATCTGTTTAAAAATCGGACATGCGGATTATAAGGTCTTTTCATCCGCTGAACAACGGACGTCCATTCATGAAGTGGTTTGCACGTCACAGCAATATCCTCCAGCATTTGTCCCAGTTGAAGCCTCCTTAACATGACGTCAAAAGGTTTAGACCATAAGGACAAGGCAATGATACAGGAGCATTTCTGTAGTAATAAATATGACACTGTATATTAGAAGGTATGGGGCATGCTGCAGATGGCTCTCTTTCTTCTTGTGACTCCAACATTAAGGGGATTATTTGAAAAATCAACCAGAATTGAATTCCCAAATTATGACCCCATGCTGCATGATGGAGAGGCCATCAGCACCCAACAAGCAAAGATCAACAGCAAGACCTGAGTAGCCTAAAGAAAGAAAGTGAGAAACAGTAACAGAATCTTGCTTCATATTTGATCAGCACTAGTTTGGCAGTGTGCAGGATGTTTCACTAAGAATGACTTGTCAGTATCAAGGTAGCCACGCCCTAAGTATACCTTTTTAAAAGGAAAAACATCTCCGTTTTTATCAAAATCATCGCTGTGTTAACAGGGCCCAAACCAAATTTAGATTCCCCTTACAATCATTCACAGTGCATCCGCTGCCTCATTGACTGACAACCTAATGGTACTGTAAAGAAGTTGCATTACAGCTATCAGCGTCTTTGTCCAGCAATCCAATGGCCTTCCAATTGAGCTGATCATGTTAGACATGGCCTTTCAATGTGAATGTGGCTAGTGTCATGTCATTGCTATTTTTTTTACTGCAGTAGTGGTTTCCAAACTTGTCTTTTTTACACCACATATCTTTATAATGACCTAACCTTGTGGGATACAAAATTGGCTCTGAAGCAAATCCATTTCAGACCTCACAGTTTATGTCTGTAGTCAACTTGCTCTGATTTCTGTGTGTTCTTCAAAAAGTACTGTGTGGATTGGCAATGGTTTACATGCTGCTTTAGTAATTATCTCCATATTGTTCTGTGTAATTAGACATTTATCACTGACTTATTATGGTTTTTCATACCAAAGAATAAGACCATCAAACTTTGTTTGGTGCTCCTTTCATTGCATGATTGATTGTGTTTCCAGAAGCATACCCAGCGTACCCAACTTTGGTCCAACAATATCAGCAACACTCCTAAACCTAAATTATATCAGAAGCTCTTACAGCTTTTTATTTGCATTTGTAAATAACAAGGCTAACCCGACTAGCCGAAAGAATAGAATTTAATTTTGATATATGTTTAGATGAACTGTTGACATAATTAGGATTTATAGGACCACAGAAGGTCGCCCGCCAAAACAGTTCCAAATAAATATATCATACATGTACCGTTGTACCCTTATTTTTTCAGCAACAAACTCTTTTCAGAAATCAAACAAAAAAGGAGAATCTTTTCTGTGCAAACTATTTGATGAGTGCTGCAATTGCTCAGTCCTGCTCCAGATGAGACGATGGGCTTCTTGTCGTCCAGACTGTTGTTGGTGGTTAAACGGTCATACTTGGCAGAGGCTGCAAGACATGCAGAGAATAGCACATAGCACAAAGTTACATAACAAAGGTTACACTTGGTAATAAAGAGTGTCTCTTTGAAATGTGTATTGAGGCTTGGTGGTTAAACCGGCTGATAAATCTCATTTATTTATGGCAGGTCTCTCCAAACTGCTTTTAGGTGTTGTAAATATTACAGTGGTATCCTTTGGGAGACAGCCTTTGTCCAGAGGAAAAGTTGAAGAAGACAGAAAGACTGTCTTTGTTGATAGGGGATTTCCAAGTGACTTCAATACATTTATTCATAAATCCACATTTCAGGTCGCTGCAATGTCAACAAAGTCAAGTCAGTTTTATGTAACTTGTAGACATCAAAACTTGGACATCTTGACTTACAAATGATCTGTTACTGTTTAAACATGAATTATCAATCAACAACAATCATCATCATCTCATTTTAAGAAAATACCACCAGGTAAAAGCTGGATAGCTGATCAAAGCAGGATGGAACGCCAGACCCTCCAAATGCAAAGAATCCAATCTTACCCACACAGTAACAATGTAACTGAAATGACAGAGGCCTTAAGGCGACACCTGCATTATTAGGTCATCTTAGAGGATCCACAAAATAACATTTTCTTTTAAGGCCTTTATTGTTTCAGTGTAGTATGCTGTGCTTACATGATGCATTTTACTACACAGAATTTTACTTAACCAAGTTATCACAAACCAATTACCGATCAATAACTAATACATCCACAGTAAACCAGTGGCATCATGCCCTTTCAAGTTGGTGGGAAACCTGCTCCAACAGATTTTTAATATCTAGATTTTTTTATAATATGTAGTTGTGATTATTTTAAATTCAGGCCCATCTCTAGGAGTGTGCAATAGCATAGTTTACATACAAATTTATATATATAGATAGATAGCTCTTTTTCAAGAAAGGTTGCAGCATTGTAGAATCTAGTGTGGATGTGTCATTTTTAATACCCATAACAGTGGAATTAATTGACATGAAATGACATCTAAACAGTATTTACCCGAATATTTAGCCCTCAGAATTTTGGCTTGCATGACGCCTCTGCAGTAAACAGAGAGTGGGGGTGGTGTCAGAATTGGCGCTGGAGCTGCCACTATCACAGAGCTATTACAGCAGGGGGTCCATAATGAGTTTCTAGAAAGAAAATGTGAAATAAGTTCGTATGAGAGGATTCAGTTTCGTGGAACTGATCACACCGTTGTGTTAAACAGTAATTATGAATGTGATGATGTTGTCAAGGGTGCAACACGCTGCCATGTGACAAAGCCACCAGTAAACTGCCTGTTGATACTTGTATCGCGTTCCGCTCTGTGCCAGTTTGTTTTTCCCAAGACAACAGTCAAGCTGAAGCACTCAAGCTGAGGCATCACGGTCTAAACAGTCGTTTGTTTTCATACCATTCAGTAACATCAGCGTACACTAAATGACACGACTCATCTTCCACATCATGTGAACACGACAGCCTTCGACCTCTCTGATGAAAGCAAACATAAACTAATCAAAAAGGTGATGAGTTTCGACGACCTTTTTTCCAATTATAGTGCACTCTCTCTTTATTTAACTTTAACTTCTGCCATGTTCACATTGCACATTGTTGCTATTCCCGATGTGCTTTATTTACTGCTGCACAATCCAAAAGGCCCAGTTGTGGAAAATATCTTTTTTTGGTCCTCTGTACACAGAGAAAAATAATGAAGATAACAGACACTGCTTTATTTTCCCAAATTTGTTTAGGTCACTGTCCTTGGAAGTGATGTGCAGAAAGGGGAAGAGAGATAGTCCTTCAGCTATTTCTATTGGAAGTCATTCAACTATTTCTGAGTGATTACTACCCAACAGGAACATAGTAGGAAGCTGTGGGCTCAGAGCCAAAGGCAATACATCTGTCAGCAGCACAAGCTCATTCTGCCACTTGTTCCTCATGTGCAGTACTCTCTTCTGGGTCATGCCGCATTTCACTTGAAACAGGCCTGACATCCGCCTGCAGTTTTCAGTCATTATCAAAACTGTTGTAGATTTGGTTAGTGTATTTTGGCGAAAACATTGTGGGAAATTTGACTATTAAAATGCTAAACAAACAATATCAAGTTTAATATTTTGATGAGGTCTTTTACATGAGGTTTAACTATGGTTGCAAATAGGCGGTCAAGACGGATACATGCACCCACTGAACAATCAAGTCTATCTATCTTTATCTATCCTCACACTGTGCCCTCATCAGCAGTAACAGAATGATCCGACACTCTAATCAAATAAGTCCAGTCAGTCAGGAGGCGGCTAATGAAGAGCAGGAAGAGAGTGGTCAGACAAGGTCAGCCAAAACAAATAAATCGTCATAAATCCAAAGAAATGATCCACATTTTAAAGAATATTTAAATAAATGATAATATAGATAAAAATGTTTTTTCCTGTGCACCCAGGCAGGTTGCCGTATGTATCGCCAAGTTGTACCAGTCAAATGCTTCAGGTGTCAGTGGTAAGCAAGTAGCAGGCTGTGGGCCAAATCCAGGCCTCCAAAAATAATAAAGAAAACATTGACAACATACAGTATAACACTGTGTCTCCACCACACCGCAATGAATGATGCTGGAAAAAACGTAGTTGCTGACCATTTCTTAAGGTCATAGATCGATGGTCATAGGTTAATGTTAGGGCCCTGAATAGGATTAGATTCCAAACAAAGAAGGGGGATTTCTGTTAAAGGCACAACATTTATATGGACAAATATTCCAGAAATCTTCAACGAATAGTCCAAAATTTTGTGAAATACATTGATTCCCTTTTTTGTTGAGAGTTAAACAAGAAGTTTGATACCACTCATGTACATGTACATTAAATATGAAGTTGCAGCCAGTTAGCTTAGCTTAGCACAGAGACTGGAAACAGCCAGCCTGACACTGACACCTACCAGCACCTGTAAACGACAATTCTTGGCTTTATGGTGTTATGTTTGATTATTGGTCTACTATTTCTTGGCCAGGTGCAGTGACTTCCTGGAGTCTCTTCTGGTGGATTTTGCATCAGGCCAGCTGTTTTTCCCTCTTTCCAGTCTTTAAATTATTCTAACCAGCTGCTGACTCTTTTAGCCAGGATCTTGGAGTCTTGCTACCTCTCGCACAAACACCAATATCTGTGACTTTTCTCTTTGTCTTTCTTTTTTGGTGGCTTAACACCCTGAATGTGTCCCCTCATCTCTAATAACATGTAACACGATATTTTTTACGGCAAAAACAGAGACAGACATTGTGTAGAAAGTGTCAGATAGTAGTGAGTTGATTTGATTTGTTTCATCACGTCAACAAGTGGACAGTGGACAGTGAGGGTCATATTAGTCTCAGTCAGAACACATAAAACACACAGAGATGGAAACCTGGCCCTAAACAATGTGATTCCAACTGATTTACTGGCCACCTCACCAGTGACCCCAATTTATTTCCCCATATTTGGCGTCTGCCAGATGTTGATTTTGGACCCTACATCTCACTCTCAGCGAGATAACAAATACTGTATTTCTCAAAATGTCAAACTATTCCTTTAAGGGTTACTGCAAGTTGGCATCTTGGGACCTTCTGTTGTAATTCTGTACCACACTGAATGTATATATCCTTAAAACATCAGTGTCTTGGACTGGAGAGGCCCCTCTTTTCCCAGCAACATTAAAACACTGACTTTAGTTAACAGTGAGCAGTAGTCCCGGACGGGCTATACAATTCCCAGGGTTACATCAATAAATGAGAAAATCAATAAACAGGTTTATAATCCATCATAAGGTCCGGGTAAAACCTAAACGGTATCCTGATGTGAGTCCACCCGCAAGATGATATACATTCACATTTTAGGTGAAGAAGGTGACACACTTGGGTGCAAGGTGGTTTTTGATGTTTGGAGAGGACATAGCATATGTTATTATGTAACAAACGGAAAGTCTTTCAGAGAAAGCAGCATGCAATGTGAGATCAAGTCCAACCTGATTATATGAAATGCACAAGTACAAACATGATATAATGCCACAGGGAAATATCAAATTAAAGGCATAATCGAGACACTTTTTGTCTGTGTGTGTCTCTGTTGTTTGTAATTAGTTTATCCTTAAATTTTACTCTCAAGTAGAAGTATTTCAATATTATCAGTCAAATTGACTTAAAGTATGGGAAGTAAAAGTACCCATTGTGCAGTAAAAAGGTGCTTTGGATTAATATTACTGCTGCAATAATATGTATGTTGCATTTTACTGCTGTATGTTTAAGGCTGAGCTCATTTGAACTACTTTATATACTGTTGGGTAGTTTAATCTACAGCAATGCATCATATTCTATAAGATCATCATATGTTTGTAGTGTGGCTGTCCAGTGAAAAACTGCCCATTTTCCAGCTAAGACGGGTTTAAATGGTTTATTTATCTTAAAACGTAAGAACATTTTCTGGAAAGGGAGGGTGTGAAACAGTGTGATCTAACTAGTAACTACAAGAGTTAGACAAATGTAATGGAGTAAAAAGTTAGAAGTTGCATAAAAATCCAATCAGGTAAGGTAAAGTATCTCAAATTTGTAAAAGTGCTCAATTACATTCCACCATCAGTGGTGGTTTTAAATCTTTTCACACTGGAAAAGTGATCAAATATGCTAAAACGTGTCCAGAGGGTGTCCACTCCTGAAATCTGATTGGCCACCCCGTTATCCTCTCTGCACTGTCTTTCAGAGGCGGGCTATGTCAGGAATGAGGCTGAATAATGCTGCATAAATTGAATATGACGGATATACTTCATGCCCCCCCCCCCTTCATAAGTCAATGCCCAACTTGTGTGTCCTAGTCAATAAAGTCTGGACACTCCCCTGCCTGCATCCATTTTCTTTTACCCATAATCCTTCCTGTTTTGAAGCTGGTTCTGCTGTTCAAGTGACTTACATATCTAATATTTATCTGCTGTTTAGCACTGTTTATTGAAGCACTGTATTCACTGTTGTTTCTAGCAGCTACAGGATAAAACATTTGCTGTTTTCCTGGACTGTGATATTGTATATCATTTATACCAGCTAGACTCTTCCTATCTGTGTAAACGCTGTTGACTTCAGGAACAAAGAGCCAGTGTCCTCATGTAACTCTAAATAAATACACAGGCTGCCATCCAGCTACTTCACTTCTTTACACAGCACTGACCACACCTGCCCTACAGACAGAAATAGAGAGTAATCACTTAAATCACTTAAACTTTCAACTTTCAACATTGTTCTCACAACCTCGAACTTATGCTCGCGTCACAGCAAAAATAGAAAGCACATTAATTCTCCTGACAGGCAGAACAATGTTTCTGACCCTCTCACCTACAGCCTGTAATGTTCGCTGTAATCATCCCTCTGGAAATGAAGCTCTTGACAACGCCAGAATGATTTAAAGTTTGCTTAGAGGCAATTAAGTAGCTCTTGTGGTATTTTAGCTTTATTGATACCATCATGAAGTAAAATTCCTCGTCTTCGTGTCCTCACTTGTCCTCAAGTTTGTCAGCTGTTTGTCATGAAAAGTAACACTGAAAAACACCAAGTGCTTGAATCTTATAAAGGTTATCTGAGATGTTCAATCATTTCATATTAATTCATATTAATTGACATTTACTATCTTCAAATTATTATTATTATTATTATTATTATCATTATTATTATTTTACTATTACAGAATTTTGAATACAGGACTTTTACTTGAGTCCTTCTACACACTGGTATTTCTACTACAATAAAGATCTAAGAAAAGTAGATCTAGTAGTAAAAGATCTGATCTAAATACTTCCACCACTGGGTGTCCCTTTGATTAATATAACACATAATTACTTACTTTATTAGTGGGAGTTTTTCTCTATTGAAGTAAAATTTCTTTAAGGATTTATTCATTTATTTAATGTAATCCTAATGTTTTCAACTATCATCTATGTATAATGTATATGTGTATGTTTAATGTAATGTTCCTGCTACGATCTTAAACCCTACAGCACCATCTAGTGTATACTAGAAGTAATAACTAAATGTTATCATATTTCAGAGCCTTAAGACTGAACTTTTTTCTACACTGTCAGTATCTCATTTTGCAGTGAAGAAATGCCTCACAGTGGGACAATTGGCTCCCCCTTAGTAACTCATCACTGGTAATAATATTACAGTGATAATATTACTTCCCCCAGTAACTAGTAGTGTAACTAATTACTGATTCATTTCATAAAAATTATGAATAATGAATAATTAGTTACAATATTACTTTTACTGATTTAAAATCCAACAATCCAATCAAATCCTTGGATTAAAGTTTGTAATCGTGAAGAAAACTAGCATGGGAGATGGAAAACCTTATATTCAGTGGCTGGAAATATTACAGAAATATTATAGTATATATTACTTTGATTTTAACATAAAAAACTGGATTTAATGGTCATAAGTCTGAATTTTGGGAAGAAGGGACATAATTACTAATTTTGTGGGGAAAAGCAGAAAAGTAATATAATAGTTTTAGAACGAATTACTGTTGTCAGGGAGTAAAGTAATAATATCATTTTTGAAAATAGTAATGAATAATAAATGTTGTGTATTGTGTAAATGTTTTATGTATAAATAGCCTAGTCTTTTATTAGTCCAAACTAAACTTTACTCAACTGGTCAGTAATGGGTTATTTAGCAGCCAGTGTGGAGTTTCCAACTCCCATAAACAAAGGAAGAAATGCAGTAAACAACATTAATGACAATATTAACAATATTAAGTAGCTCTTTTAAAAATTTACTTTCAAAACTAGTGCTACACATTGTGTCAATGTAGGTTAGGTTTATTAATTTGTGGTTACTGAATAGCAGTGGTAAGTCCATTTACCTCATTATTGTACTTTTGAGATACTTGTACTTTACTTGAGTAGTTACATTTTTTGAGGGAAGTATTGTATTTTTTACTCCACTACATTAATTTGACTGCTATACTTACCAGTTAAGCATTAAGATTTCACAAAAAATTAAAGATTAAAGAAAAGTCCAGAGAATAAATACCAATGTGTGAACAGTTCTTCTCTTCTTCTTCCCTCTCCAATGAATCATCTCACAACCCCTCAGATTTATCTGGTGACCCTTTAAACAAACCTGACGACTGAGTACCACTGGACTATATACCTGTACTGTGAATTAAGAAGTTAAAACTAGCTCCATCTCAAACCAGCTACAACAGTAAAATACTGATTGCTACATCAACATTACAATCTAGAAAGAACCTTAATCAGTCACAGGGGACTGTAGGCAGAACAAGTTCTTTTTGTTGTTATATAATACTATTACTTTTACTTTCAAGTAGGATGTTGGATGAGAAATTGTACTTGGAATAGAGTATTTCTACTGTGTGGTATTGGTACTTTCACTTAAGTAATGGAGTATTTCTTCCATATACTCAGCACCTGTTGCCAATCAGCCGTCATATATTTCTAAAAGCAACTTTTTTCTGCTTTCCATTGGTTTTCTTTTTTATACAGAAATAATTTGATATTATGTTTAAGTTGGGGGGGGTGCTGCTTTCCCTTTCTGTGTTGTTTTTTGTTTTGCTTTGTTATATATCAACCCATATGATACAAACTTCATATAAACAAAAACAATAAAAATGGGAGTATTTAAAAATATATATAATATAAGTGCCCTGATTGTGAAAAAAGCCATTTGGTTTGTTCAGTTTACTCCATGAACACATCATTCATCTATTTACACATATTTAATCAGAAATATAAGTGTTTAGCATACAGATTGGGGGTGGAGTGGAACAGACTGCAACAGTGGTTTTTAGAGGTTTCTGTGTACATTAAGTGTTCTGTGAAGAAATGAACTAAAGTAAACTTCATACAGCCACTTCCAAGCGTGCAGGAGGGAAGAAACTCCACCCAAACTGAAAAGATCCACTTTGGGTGGAGTTTCGAACGGTAATAAACTATGCCAGTCTGCAAGTAAATTACCTTTTTCACAGCAAATCTTTTGACTTGCTACACAGCAGCAGCAGAGACACAGGTGTATCTGATCACATTGAAGATGGCTCTGTTCCATTAAAGAGTTCCAGTAAACCCGTCGTTCCCAACCTGGGGGTCGGGACCCCCACTAGGGGAGACCAAAGCTCCACAGTGGGTAGTTTATTTCTGTGAAAAAAAACCAAAAAGATTTTTTCAAGTTTAGATTATTATTTAAGATTGAAACTTTAAGGCCTGAAGACAAGCTATCTTCGCAGATCCTTCACTCTCTCTCTGAAGCCTAATCCCGCATTACAAAAGTACGCAGTTAGCTTGTCTGCCCTGGCTCCCTGTAAAATGTAGAATAGAATTTAAAATCCTCCTCCTCACCTATAAAGCTCTTCATGGTCAGGCCTCTTCATATCTTAAAGAGCTCATAGTACCCTATTACCCCACTAGAACACTACGTTCTCTGAATGCTGGGCTACTTGTGGTTCCTATAGTCTCTAAAAGTAGAACAGGAGCCAGAGCCTTCAGTTACCAAGCTCCTCTCCTGTGGAATCAGCTTCCAGTTGTGGTTCGGGAGGCAGACACCCTCTCCACATTCAAGAGTAGGATTAAGACGTTCCTCTTTGATAAAGCTTATAGTTAGGGCTGGATCAGGTGAGTCCTGAACCATCCCTTAGTTATGCTGCTAGGAAGGATCTGTCCTAGGTTTCTGCCTTTTAACAGGCAGTTTTTCCTTGCCCTTGTCACTAAGTGCTTGCTCATGGTGGTACTGTTGGGTCTCTGTAAATAATGTTATGAAGAGTTCGGTCTAGACCTGCTCTATTTGAAAAGTGTCCTGAGATAACTTCTGTTATGAATTGGTGCTATACAAATAAAATTGAATTGAATTGAATTGAATTAAACAACCAAAGAGCTAATAGAAAATGGCCACGCATCAGAGAGAATAACACACTGAATTTGTCTGAAACAGAGGTATATTAAGTAGTTAAGATTCTTAAAAATTAGAAAAATACATAATACAGACAGAAAATAGTATAAAAAGTGCCTAAAAAATTAGTAAAACTCATCTCTGATCAAAAAAATCTCCTCAAAATTCATCCAAATTTGACACAAATTTATTGTGTTCACAATTAGGGTCCTTTGTACAGTATATTCTGTACTGTTGTACTATTGTATCCATAAAATATATCACTTAGTGAGGGGTGGTCAGTTTACTCAATGATAGAAAAAGGGGTCCTTTAAAGAAAAAGGCTGGGAATCATTGCAGTGAGCCATCCCATCGAGCCAACATGACTGGTAAGTAATAATAATGTTCTTTACGCCTGTGCTTTTCCTGCTGTGAGGGTCAAAAGATCCGGTGTAAAAAAAAGGCCTATAATTGCAGCAGCTGCAGATTGTCAGACATAGTAGTTTTACTTTCTATGTCCAGCAGGTGGCAGGGTTGCTGCAAAGTTGGACAAATTCACACAGCAGAGAAGGTTAACTGAGTTCATAAACAGTGAGGTATTTTGGGGGCAATATCTAGCAGCTCTACTGACACATTATGGAAGCAAATGGTGGCATTCAACTCTTTTTTTAAATTCTGTCCTGCAGTGTTTTCTGTCCAACTGGAGAAATGCATGTAAAGACAATGAAGGCACACCAATGAGAGCGAGAGAGCTGTTACAGTTGTTTTCTGTCATTCTGAATTAAATGTGGACAGCATTACAAAAATACATTTAATTTGATTGCCCAATCCTAAAGAAAGGACCAGCCAAATATCCTTATAGTGAAAGTGAGTCATTCTCACAGGGATAGATTAACAACTCACGCATATTGCACTGCTCACTGCACTCCTGCATGCAGCTGACTCATAATCCTATTAGTTAGTCCATTTCCTGTTTATATTCCTGTCTGCGGCCAAAGTACAGCACAGTCACCTTGGTGCTGAGTTCATATGCTGCCACGGCAACTGCAGCATCGGCAGGATGTTGCCTTATTTCCAGGCTGTGTTTACTGGACGAGTCACACCGAGACACTTTTGTTTTAGTTGGATGTGCAACGCTTGATTTATTTTTGGGTTTTGTCAAAGTTTGCACGATAGTTTGAGTAGTTTTTGAATATATGTGATGTTCAACGATTAGTTGTGACAGTAACTCTATTACTACTGGCTGATAATTAGCTGTCAGCTGCAGCTTCTCTCTTACAGTAATGTGAACACACTGCACTGAGTGGAGCCTTTCCATGTTCGCAGTGGCGGTCCTTCCTACAGGCGACATAGGTGCTTGCCTAGGGCGCCACCTAGTGAGGGGCGCCAAATATGCAGCGAGAAAAAAATTATAATTAAAATTATAATGTCTACTTATTTTTTCAACAGTTTTTGCCATCCCTCTATCTGCAACAATACTTTGACATAAAAAATAAATTAAATTTAAGTAAAAGAAATGACAATTCTGACTGTTACACGTCACGGTCACAACATGCTAGCCTGCACACTGATGCGCAGTCGGTCGGTCGGCTGTGTGTCGACGGGTTACCATGGTTACAGCTACAGTCCACAGAAAATGAAACGGCTAAAGCCATCTGGGGCGCACTTTCGAAAGCGCAGAAAAGAAGAGCGGGAGAAAGGTGCAAAAGAGTAAGGTACGTAATTTTGATTATATATTTATTAAATTCACCGACAACATTAACATTAAGTAGCAATGAGGGTGTGTGACGTCCCGCTGCGTTCGGCTAGGTTTGGTCGTTATTAACATGCAGTCGGCCCAATATTTTCATAATAAGACTGTCATAAGTCATAAGACCGACATTTTTACCTCTTTGTTTGGTTGGTGGTAAGATTTCCTACGAGGAGGTTATTGATGACTTTGCGGCAAGGAAGGCCAGAAAGATCGCATTGTGAATGAAGTGTGATATTAGTGTGAAGTAGAATATATTATTCTGTTCACTTGGGGTGAATTTGAACATTATTTGTTTATTTTGTATATTGTATTTTGATTAATAGGTTATATGAATCACATTTTACAGTATCTAATTTTGCACACAATGTTTTATTGTTAAAGTTTTTGTTTTGACTCTTTAGTGTGCACTACTGTTAAAAATATGTTTAAAAGTTTATTTTTTGCATATTTATTATTGAACAGGTTTATTCTTTTGCACATATTGTTATATTGTTTGTATTATAATTGTTTAAATAAATGTGCAATTCTTTGGACATGAGTTCTTTTCTCGTGGGGATGGGGCGCTATCGGTAAAGCTCGCCCAGGGCACCAAATGGTCTAGGACCACCCCTGCATGTTCGGCTAAACTGGCCTATTTGGACAGACTGTAGGAATTCTTAAGTCCAGCTGGTATAGTATTAATTAGAGAGTTATACCACATTCAGTTTGTAACAGCAGTAATCAGAAAATAAACAGTATGACGATGATGTTGCAACTTGGAAAGCAATTTGTTAAACTCATTGGCTCACCACACCTCAGTAAACAGAACAAGCTGCAGTAACGTTAAGTGTCAACAGACAGATAGATTTTGACTATGAATATACTGTAACATATGGTTTGGATTTTTGTGGTCCTTGAATGCTGCCATCGGTGGATTAGCAATGTTTGTGGCAGCAGTTTCTGATGCCAGACATTTTTTCAGTCTGTTTTTACTCTCTCTTCCTCTCTGTCTCTCTCTGTCCTGAAGAGGGCGCACACTGGCTTCATATGAGCTCATGCAAAACTGAGAGGAAACAGGGGAAACACTTGATTTTCCTTCCTGTCACGAGTGCCTGACTCACTCATCTGTGTGGTCAGTGAAAGTGAGTCATGCTGGGAATCCTTCCAAAATGGTTTGTGTGTGTGTGTGTGTGTGTGTGTGTGTGTGTGTGTGTGTGTGTGTGTGTGTGTGTTTTTTCATGATATTTTCCACCTGTATGAGGTCAGCGAATGTGAGGAAAGGCTTTCAGTTCAGATTAGATGGTATTATTTGACAGGACGCACTGATCCCAACGCAGACAGACCACTACTAGACAGTCAGACAGACAGATTAACTATAACCTCTCCTCCAGACGCGCACACACCCACATACACACAAATGACTGGGGTCAGATTATATCTGCACCTTGACCTACAGTGTAGTTTCATGTGCTGGCAGTAGACGGTGTGGTGGCAGGTTGAATGTGCCTTTCTCTATCCAGCTGCAGTGTGCTGTGTCACAAAACATCCAGCTGTGTACTACAACACATTGTATAATCATTTAATCTCCAAACATTACATTTCATTACAAACTTCACCAGTTGTGTAGTCTGTCATTCTGGACCAGAATCAATAAGAATAAAGCCTGAAATACATACTATAAACAGTAACATATGATTGTATGTTAACAGTTCATTTTACAGGCCCATTATTTTCTAATATTTTCTTTGGATGTTTCCTGGAAAGAACTATGAAATTAAGTACTAATTGATTTTATTAACAGTTATTGGAATTTCCCATAAAAGAAACCTCCATTTGTGCCCAAATGAACATCGTGATTTGCCACCAAGGCCTGAGGAGATGAGGTTTGCAGAATCAGTGACTTCTCACTTCTTAAAATCCATTTTCTATGGACTTGCCTTCATGTGATGTTGTCTGTTTACTGCATGTTGTACTGTTTACTGCATTTTAGTAATTTTGTTAGATATTGTACTTTTATTTATTTATAATTATTTTCATTTTAGTTTTATGGCTTTTATTCTGCTCCTCTAATTGTATTTTGGTATTTATTATTTTTATATTTAATCATAGTTTGTGAATCACAGCTATTATTTTTGCTTTGTCTGTAAACTCTGTTTTTAAAAGGTGCTATATAAATAAAGTTGTTACCGTTATTCATTAATTTATTATTCACATATTATTGGAAACTTTATTGGCTACTCCATATTTGCTCAACTGTATGCTTGCCTACAAAATTTCCCATTTTTCCACATTCAGCATACTTGACACTAACAATTAAATTGAACGTGTGCTAACACTGTCTCCATTTCCCCTATAATTTGTACCAAATGACACAGTTCTTTCCAAAAAAGACTTCCTATGAATTTGCAGTTAAATGTCCCTTCTTTTAGATGGTGGAAGCTAATTATAGTTAACTATGGGACCTGTAAAATGTCCAAATTGGACTGAAAGACTTTTATTGTAAAATGTAAAAGTCCAGTGTGTAACATTTAGGTGGATCTA